GATTGCCCCTAACTGCTTCTTCCTGCCAGCCTGATCACTCCCTAACTACTCCCCTGCCAGCCTGCTCTACCCCTAACTGCCCTCCCCTGCTGGCCTGATCGCCTACAACTGCCCTGCCCTGCAGGCCATCTTGTGCAAGGATGTTATAGTCAATTTGCATATTACCTCTTTATTATATAGGATTATTGTGACTACCTTGAGCCCTTTAGGGAAGGAACCTAGGTGTGAGAGGGTAAAAAGTAAACGGAGACTTGCTGTATTTGCAGTTATGTACTTGGGTCTGTCCTAATGCTTCCCATTTTGAGCACCCAGGATACTGAGTGCACATGCATGACCAGAGTCACCCCCTCACAGCCCCAGCACCACCCTGTGACCCTACCCTAGCACTAACCCTGTGACCTCCCACAGCACCCACCCTCTGACCACCCCAGCACCCACCATGCCTAGCTCCTCCTGTCCGGGGTGCTCACATGCACTCTGGGCAGATAGACAGCCTGGCTCAGCCCCAGGCCTGTTGTATCCACAGTGCTCAGTCCCCTTGCCCGTGGCCCTGTGAGCCACAGCAGGACAAGCAGGGCCTCCTCCTGAGACGCACCTGCTTGGGGTTTTCTTGATGCTTGTGCTCTCACAGCTCTCTTTGAAGCAGATATCCTGGTGTACCTTGTAGACTCGTTTATACCTGTCACAAGAAAGCTCCATCAAGGCAGGAACTGGAGCAGAATGGTGCCCAGCTGCTTCACCTAGGCTACATGGAGACCAGATACCCGTGCAGGTGTTTGAGGGAAAGGCCATTATTTTCTTAATAAAACTTTACCTTATAGGGGCATATTGAAATGTCCCACATAAAAGTCATGTACTTTTTAAAATTAACTTTACCAAGGCATAGTTTACATAAAATAAGACACACCCATTTTAAATACATTTTGAGGAGTGTTGACAGTTATATGATATTAAGAGAGAAAATGTGAAATTTAAAGGACATATGTTGCTTGAGGCAGGCCACTTGGCCCAGTGGCCTTGAGATGCTATGACCCACTTCTCCACTGATGGGCAGTTCACTGTGAGAAACCTTGGAGATGCAGGCATTAGATGTGAACGGCGTGGAACAGGAGAGCTGACTTCATGCTCTACCTAGCCTGTCTCTGGAACTTAAGCCTCAGTTCTGTGTAAAATGGGAATAATTCATATTACCTCTCTCACAGGTTTATAGATGACAATGAATGGAAAGGACTTTGGTTCTTTTTAAAACTCTCAAACATCACACCTGTGAAAGAGAGATCCAGGGAGTTGGATGGGCACAGCTCCAGCTCATGTGCTCAATCTAGGCCAGTGGTCAGCAAACTGCGGCCCCTTGAGTGTGGCTCTTCCACAATATACCACGTGCGGGCGCGCACGTACAGTGCGATTGAAACTTCGTGGCCACACTCAAGGGGCCAAAGAGCCGCATGTGGCTCGCAAGCCGCAGTTTGCCGACCAATCGTCTAGGAGAGCCATTGGGAGTTAAGGCCTTTGGTAAGACTTCCAGCCATCAGGGAGTAACAGGATCAGGAACTACCTCCCAATGCAAACAACCAGAGAACTGGACAGAATATAAGAAGTAACTTTTTTCCAGATATTAGAAAACAGAGCAAGACTATGATCCCTGAGAGAAGGGAAATGAATGAGATGAGTCCTGTGGTCACCCTGGAACTCATTCTGGAGATACTTTTTGGACTTCGTGTCAGGTCAGAGGTTCCAAGCAGTGGTTGCAAGTTGAAACAGAGTGGAGTTGGGAAGACAGAGGCAGTGGGACCGTGTGGGGTGGAGCACTGGAGAGGAGGGAGCCATGCAGTGGAAGAGAGCCAGAGTGGAGAGATCTTGCTCAATAAGAGGCCATTCTATAAAAATAAAAACCCCAGTAAGGCCATGCCTTAGAAGTGGGGCAGAATTAATCCCAGAACAAAGCTGGTGCTAAAGCCACCCTTAGCAAGCCTCAAAAGAATCAAAGTCAAAATAACTGCCTTGCAGAAAAAAAAAACACCCAACATTCTTGAAGAGTACAAAAAAATATTTAAAAATCCAGCACGCAGTAATAAAGTTTACAACATCCAGCATCCAACAAAAATTATAAGACATTCAAAGAATTGGACAAAGAATCGAGAAACTCATAAATAGGCAAAAATAATTGATTAGAAAAACACCTAGAAATGAGAGCAGTGACAGAAACAGCAGAAAAGGCCTTAAACATCTATGATAAATTTTGTTCCACATGTTCAGTGGTCTAAAGGAAAAATGTAAACGTAATGAGAGACATGGAAGATTTAAGAAAGAATTAAGTGGGACTTCTGAAGAAAATGGAAATTTTGCCAACTGGATTAGTGGTCGGTAAGACACTGCAGGAGGAAAGGTCAGTGAACTTGAAGGCATAGCAGTAGGATCTATCTAAAATGAATAGAGAAAAAGACTGGGGGGGAAAAAAAATGAAAGGAGCCTCAGTGACCTATGGGACAACATCAGTCTAATACATGCATAAGTGGAATTCCAGGAGAGGAGAGAAGTGGAGGAACAGAAAAATATTTTAAAGAAATATTGGCCAAAATGTTGCAAATCTGATGAAAGCTAAAAACACAGAGATACAAGAAGCTTAATAAACTCCAAAGAGTAAACACACACACACACACACAACCACACGAAAGCACATCATAGGTAAGTTTCCTGAAACCAGTAATAAAGAGAAAACAGAAGCAGCCACAGGGAGTTTGGGGACATATTTCATAGTCTTCTTATCTGAAACCAGGCAAGGCAGAAGACGAAGGACCTACCTCTTTAGAGTGTGGAAAGAAAAAAAATGTCAACCAAGAATTTTGTATTTAGCAACTTTATCCTTAAAAAATGAAGGTGAAGTAAAAACCTTTTTAGGAGCAGAGAGAATTCATTGCTAGCAGACCTACACTGTAGGGGTGACTGCCGGAAATGGCGGACATGCAGGTAAATACAAAAGATTTTGCTCTCAACATTTTAAAATATATTGTTGAGAGGAAAACAACGTTTTGCAGCTTGGAGCATGGTGGAAGTAAAAGTCTGACATCAGTAGTCAGAACTGAGGGGAAGTAGAGGCAAGTCTTCCCTTAGATAAAGGGATACTGTGATGAGCAAATTGTTAATCTCTAGATCCACTAAAATTTAAACCAAAGAAGTATAACCAATGAGCCAACAGGAGAGGTAAAACAGGATCTTAAGAAATAATCCAGAAGTAGGCAGGAAAAGAGAAAAAGGTAACAAGATTAGATGGAACATAGAAAACAAGTAGCAATGTGGTAGATTTAAACCAATCACATAAGTCATTATGTTAAAATGTGGTCTGGTCCCTGCAGTGAAAACCAAGGCTGTGAGCCTGGGCGTAAAGCAGACCCAACCCTGAGGAAGGGGTGGGGTGGGGAGATTCTGGCAGGAGCGGAGCTCTCCTAGTCAGGCCCCCGGGAGCTGGTGGCTGCTATGGCTTTGGATGGCCATTCCCCAGACCCCAAGTCGAAGGCCTTTCAACGCAGATCCCAAGTCCTAGTGCAGCTCAGAACTTCCTGTGTCTAACACACCTATGCTCTCTGTGGATGGCTGTCTCCCTCTGGATGGAAGGAGCCGCGGGCAGGGCGAGGGCGTGTCCTGTTCACTGCATGTGCCAAGGGTTAGAGCTGTGCCTGGTTCCCAGATGTGCTCATATGTATTGGCTGACTAACCAGATTGTGAGTGGGACCCAGGGTCACAGAGTGTGAGCAAGAAAGGTCCTAAGAGGCGAGCAAGGCCTCATCACCACTTAGTGGCAGAGCCGACTCCAGCTCTCACAGGCTGCTGTTTAGTTTTCCGGGGGCTCCATGGCAGAGAGGACCCTGCTGTCCAGGGAAGGGGGCTAATGCCGCCCGAAGGGTCCAGAGCCAGGGTGTCAGGGTTCCAGAACTCCTGTGCCTCTGCTCCCTGCTGCATGGACTCAGACAAGTTGTTCAGCCTTTCTGCCTCAGTTTCCTAATTTGTCATATGGCAGGAACAGGTGGTCAACACAAGCCTCTGTGGGGTGAGCTGGACTTTGTGGAAACACTCCGGAGGTCAGGGACAGAGGGAAGAAACTTACACGTGGTGGCAGACACCTCCTTCCCAGACTGGCAGGGACTTGGTCTCCGAGAACAGGCGCGTGCAGGGCTGGGGCTGCTTTTTACAGGCTGCAGAGCACAAAAGAGGCCGAGGCTCACTGCGGCTCGGGCCCTGGCTGCCCTCTCCAGCACCCTTGGGAGACCCACACCCGGGCTGGGGTCCTTGGAGCCTGCAGGCTGGTTCCCCTCAGGGTTTACTCCAAAAGTCTCCTGAGGGAGGCCTGTGGCCCTTTTCCCTCCCACCACCTTTGGCCCCTGAGCCAAAAATAGCCCCCCCACCCACCTCTCACTGTGGGGGTGGCTGTCACTCTGTGTTCCTTACTTTCTGGCTGTCCCCAGATCCCCCACTTGTCCAGGCTGCACCTTTTGGCCTGGCACTCCGGGGCTGTGAGCAGCCCAGTGACTCATTGCCTGCCACCTCCGTGCCTGGACACCTGGAAGTCTGGGCACTTCATGGCAAACCCATCCTGGCCTAGCAGTCTCAGCCCAGCCTGCTGTAACAGGCATCTCAAGGGCAGGCCTGAACGGGCCCTGACTTACCAAGCTCGCAGTGCCTGCCTTTGAACCCTGGGCTGCAGTCACAGCTGTGGGTGTCCACGCCTGGCACGCAGGTGCCTCCGTTCTGACAGGGGTTTTCTGTACAGTTCCCAGGGGTGTCTGCAAACAGGTCATGAGTGGTTAGTCTCTAGGACCCCAGAGGAAGGCCTGCTGGCATTGCCACATTGTGGTCCCGTTTCAGGTGGTCAGAGAGATGCTTGGCTCTGACCCCATTACCTTGAGGGCCAGGGTCCAAACAGTGCTTCTGCTGGGACCCTCAGTGCTGAGCCCTCCGTGGCGGAGGAGCCTCGAGTCACTGCTTAGATTATGGTCGGGCACTGGTGGTCTCAGGAGAGACTCCTGGCTCTGCCCTAGCCTGTGCTTCCACCCCCTTCTCTCCGGATGGAGGACTGTGCTGGGGACAGTCTAGGCCCGGTGTGGCCCAGTGTCAGCAGGGGCCCTGCTGGCCCTGTTCGCTGAGCCTGGGTCTGCCAGGTGGTGCTCCAGCTGGGCCATGCTCAGTGCTGCCCCTCTGTGGATTCCTGCCTTTTTCTCAACACGTTCCTCTGCAGGGAGGCGGTGGGAGGGCTGCCGTATGTGGTGAGGGGCAGGGGCAGGAGGGACAGGGTACGTCCAGACAGATCTGGGTAGTTGGTCTGTAAAAGGACGTGGTGCCAAGTGCCTCCTTTCCGGGGTGGGGCATCTGGCTGCCCCTGGGGCAGGCTCAGTGCCTCCTGTTCCCACTCTGGGTGCTCAGCCCTGGAAGTCCATTCCTGCTGACTTACTTCCCACATCCTTGTCGCCGTCACGTTTGGGGTGCTGCAGGGCCAGGCTGACCTGCTCAGTGGTGTCCTCGAGCTGCACCAGAGCTGTGGGTTCTAGGAGAAACCAGGATGAGCAGTGCTGACCACATGGCCTGCTGCTTCTCACCCAAGACTGTCCCTGGGCCTTCTCCTGAGCTGCTTCTCTCCCTCAGGGTGTAGGGCCATCCTGTGTGGCAGGAGTAGGATGCTCACTCGCATGCTGGCTCCCCAACTTGGGCACAGAACCCATGGTCTCTGGCACTGTCTCCAGGAAGACCCACATTTCTCCAAGTGGGGCCAGCCCTCACCTCCTGCCAACCCTCCACAGGGACCCGGCTTCCACTGCTGCCCCGGCCAAAGCTTCTTTGTGAAGGTAACCAGTGGCCCGAGCAGGGCCGAACCTCCTGCTGACCTCCTGGCCTCAGCTTCTAAGTCTCCTTCAAACTCCATCTCCTCTCTGCCACCCCTGATTCTCGGGTGTGATGACACCTCCTCTCCCTCATATCTGCGCTCAGGCAGATCGCACACTTGGCCGCCCCTAACTGCAGGTCAGCTTCTCTGCAGGTCCCTGCCTGTGCCCTCCCCACTCCTGGTCACCGAGGGCTATGGACGCTCTGCCCTCCCTCATCACTCCCTGGTGCACCTGTCCCCTGCCTAGGAACGCTGGCATTGGCGGAAACTTCTCATTGAACTGTTGATTAGGCTCTCTGCCAGAGAACTCTGTGAAGGTGAGATTCTGGCTTAGTAGTGAGGGTGAGGGTGAGGCCTGGGGATCCCCACCCATAGTCTGAGGTCGTCTGTGGCAGCCTGTGGGCCTGCCATGTCAGGATTTTGGGGAAGGCCTGCTGTGCCAGGAGGGAAGGGCCAGGGCTTCTCAATCCATTGCTCATGCCCTATGCTGCTGGGCCAGGCAGAGGTCCCGCTAGTCTGGGCCAAGCAGGACATAAACCCAAAGGCTCTGCTTTTAACATGGGATATGACCTCAGTGTGATGAGGATGTGAGCTCCTGGGGCCACACTGCGTGCCCGTCACCTGGCTCCTTCTTGGCAGACGGATTCCTCCTGCACAGCTCCGAGCAGGACCCTGCATGTCTAGCAGCCCCCAGGCTGGTGTTGCTGGTCCAGGGACCTCTGTGAGTAGCAACACCTCAGATGGAGCCACACTCTCCTGTCTACTGCTTACCAACAATGCTTGGAGTCCTGGCTTCGCAAGCAAAGCTTCCATGTCTTGGACCTGCTTCTAATATGTTAACTTTTTCATCCTCTCTCATGTGCCCTGCCAGCAACCTGCACCCTCAACCCGTATCAGGAAGGTTCCTCTGACTCTGGATGGCGTGAGCAATTCATGCTGACCCCAGAGGCCAGGGCGTGGGCACTGTCCAGAGGTGATGTAGGCACTGGGAGTCATCTTTGAGTTCAGGTTTAGGGGCCTCATCCCTCCTGTGCTGGGGGTGGTGAGTGACAGTGAGGCCATTAAGGTTGGCATTGGTACTCACGTGATCTCACGGTGACCGATTTGCCAGGTGAGCCACTGAACTTGGCACTCACTCGTCCTCTGCCGTCTACGAGCTCCGAGAACCTGCCGGGAGAGTCACTAATGTCGCCACGCGGAGCTCCATGCCTAGGGCCATGCCAGGTTATCCAGAGGGGGCTGATGGCAGAGGCGTGTACCTGGGCGCCTGTGTTGGCATTTCGAGGGCCCCGTGGTCACTGAGTAGACGCAGCTCCGGCAGGCGCACTGGGACTGGTCTGTTTCTGAGCACCCGTGGGTGGAGTCCTTCTCGATGCCAGTGTCTGTTGGAGCTGTCCCTTGGGGCTGCAGGCAGTGAATGACGGGGTGGGGAGCACATAAGGCAGGTCTGGGGCTTCCCTTTGTCTTCTTGCCCCACTGCTCAGAGAGAACTAAAGGGACCTGACCGTCCCTGCGGTCCAGTGGTGCCTTTATGGCTTTGTGAGAAGCCTAGACCCCACATCCCACCTGAGGAGGAGCCACAGCATTCCTACTGGGAAGCAGACACTGCCTGGCAGTGTTGAGGGGGGCTGGTCCTAGCCCCCCACCCTGGGCCCAGGTTCCCCACCTGTAGGGCAGGGCCAGGCACCCGACCTGGTGGGACTTCCCTTGGCCGAGGCCGCCACCCCACACTTGCCCTGAGAATGACAGTATGGTTTCTCGGTGGGTCCTTGTCATCTAGCTACATGCTTCAGCCCCTGTACACCCCTCCTCCCTGGACCAGCTCATGGAGGTGGCCCCAGCATGCCCTGGAGCTGAGCTGAGCTGGGTCTGACTCCAAGCAGCCTGCCATGCTCAGACACTCCATCTTCCGCAGCACCTCCCGTGAGCTTTAAAGTATGAGCAGGGCCATGCAGAACCTCGGGGGGACCCGAAGGGCCTCCATGCACTTGGGGGCAGGTCCACATCCTTAGTGTGGCCCATTGGAGCCGCCGTGCTCCTGAGCTGCTTCCCCTCCTGTCCATCCATTCTGGCTTTCCTTCCTGCCTCTCCCCGCAACCCCTCCTATGGCTGTCCTGGCCTCTCTTTCCCCTGCTCCTGTCCAGTGGCTCCTCTTGGGTCAGCCTGGCCCCCTCCCTGGGCCCTCCCACACTGCTCTCCTCACTGGGGTCCTACCACTGCCTTCTCTCAGCACCTATTTCTGGTGGTGCCCTATATTTGATGTTCAGCCTGTCTGGGGTCCACAGAGTTGGACAGCACAAGGTGAGGAGCAAAATGCTGCTTTTCCAAGTTGCATTCTGCTGACCCAGCATCAACTGTCCATGAACCCTTCCTTCCCCTCCGCTTTTCACACAAATTCACCCGTGTGGACACAGTCCTATTTCTAGGCTGTCTTTGGACAGTGTGGCCATGCGGGGTGAGGGTCGTGGGGTGCAGGTGGCCCACCCGGCCCTGTGCCTGCTGCCCTGCACTCACAGGTGATGATGTAGAGGTGAGCAGGCTCGCTGTGCAGCTGGTCACCCTCTGTGCTTTGCACGGCTGTCACTGAGAGCTGGTACCGCCGCCCGGGCACCAGGTCCCGTATCGTGTAGGACACCAGCCTCCCATTGGGGACGTAGCGGCTCTTGGTGCTCTGGCTGGTGGTCACGTTGATGACGTACGCCTCCAGTGAGGTGCCTGGAGTGGGGGCATCCCAGACCACATGGGCAGAGGTGGCCGTGACTCGGGTGGCAGTCAGGTTTGCTGGCGGCAGAGGCCCTGGAAGAGGCACAGAGCAGGGGAGGGAGGGGAAGGGGGCTGATGGGTTCTTGTGTCCAGGACATAGTTTAAAGATCTGACACCGGCCTCGCGGAAGCCACATTTGAAGCCAGATTTAGTTAC